TCAGTGAGGAAAGGGTTCTGAGAGCCTTGGAAGTGATATTCGTGATCACCGCGAAATTCTCTATCGAATGGTGTATGAAGTGTCGAAAAATAAATTTCACTGCAAGGCTGCCCTGGGTGCATCTTAGTTTATTTGTTAAAAAGTGGATGAAAAAACAACCACATTTTCTAGAATATTTCCAGAATGAGTGGTTAACAACACATAATGAATGGTATGAAGAAGTTGGAAATTTTACACCAAGCACAAATAATGCTTTGGAAGCAATAAACAATGTTATAAAAAAGGAAAATACACTTCGTGAACGTCTCTCTTTATCAAGATTTAAAGTATTCGCATTTGAAATTGTTGAAAAATGGTCCAAGTCTTATGAACGAGGTCAAAAGCAATACAGTGACAAGCAAACAATATCATTGGAATTATGGACAAGTGGATATCGATGGGTCAAATCAAACACATCAATACTTTCGACTGAATGTGATAATTTAGTTCAGTATTATATATCTGCTGGAGATGAAACAAAAATTACAAACGTCGTAATTAATGTAATGAAGAAAATGAAATGGTACTCTTTTGATCAATATAAAAATAAAGCATTCAATATTTGGTCTTTTACATGACCAGTAGATAAATTAAAATGGTTAGATGGTGTGTGCAATTGTCCAACATTTTTCAAAACGTTGATGTGTAAACATGCTGTTGGTATGGCAATTCGATTAAACTACTGCAAACCATCACCTGCTGCTAAAAATGTTAAAATTGGTGAAAAAAGACGTCGCGGTAGACCAACAAAATCCAAAAGGGCGTTATTGATAAAATAAATTTCTGTTAATTGTAATTACACTTTTTTTACTGAAATAAATTATTAAAAAACTGAATAAAAATGAATTAATTACTGAATCTTTTTAAATTAATTACTGAACTTCTTGAATTATTAACTGAGCAAAAAATAATTTTTTACTGAAGAAGAACTACTGAACACGTGATAAAAAATTTACTGAACATTCATAATAAAATACTGAATAATTAAATACAAGCCTTAATAAATTTAGTGTAGTAATAACCAAAGACCATTCAAAAAGACATCTGACCCCATGGCAACACATAGCCCAACAAAGACAGCCATTATCAAAGCAAAAGTCAAAACTCCAACCTCTCAAACTATTACAATAAGCGTAGACTTAAATCATAATCTCCGCCCAATATGAATATAAATAAGGTGCTCGCAATTCAAACATGCAGCACTATCTTAGCTTTCGGCCTAGAGCTACATATTCAGATACTCCTGACTCCGCTGATTCCGAATATCACCTTTTTATTCGAATTCGATCAAGTTTTTGTGGAGAAATTCTCAAAATACTAAGAGCACCGAGAAAACAAAAAAATTGCATTACTCAGAGAAAACTTGAAATTTTGCCCCCTTCCGTCCACTGTAATTTTTTGAATTTGATATATTTGGATTCCCCATCAAAAACTGAGTCTAATCGTGTACCTTCGAGTCACAAAAAACAAAAATACCTGTGTTCCACAATTTTGACAAGAGTAAGCATTCCAAAAAATGAGCTACCTCTCTCGCAAACCGATCTCCTCCCCGGTTTTGAAACTTTTCTCCGATCGTGATACGCCATTCGAATCACCATTTGAAGGCGAACCAAAGTACGCATCACTTTTTCCAAAAAGTGTTTTCCTCATGGAGAAATGTAGACCTTACTGTAAAAAAAAGATGAACGAAAAAAGAGGTTTTTCTCAAAACTGCTCTTTTTTATTTGTTTTCAGTTTTCACATGTGTATATAGGTTAAAAACAATGTAAAATACGATGCTCATACTCACTGATGATACAGAGATTGCTCAGTAGATCTGCGGAACTCGGATCCGTTATGCATCAGTTAAACATCCATTACAAGCATGGGTGTCAGTGCAATATTTTTCTGCTTCGATAAGACAGCGAAAATAGTTTTTCTGAAATGGCTCTCTCTAGTCTCTTCATATGATAGACTTGTCGCCAGTCAGAAACAGAGCTCATGCCTTCAGGTGGCGTTCCCAAAATGGTCATCATGAGCATGTTCTGCTGTGATCACACATGTCAACCGCCTCAGACCTTTACACCAAAACAACTACCATACTTCCATACACGCTACAGATACTTGAACCTTGAATGTGACGCCATTTGTCGTTTCGGATATTCTTACGTCAGCTTTGATGCCACAGTTCGCATATCACGAGATATTAGCATATTTTTCTAGATATTTCAATACCGCGAGATTTTAGTAAAATACACGAGATATTAGTGATCACTAATATCTCATGTATTTTGTTGATATCTATTTTCACGAGATATCAGGCATTACTGGGTTTTCCCTCCAGCCCTCAAGTCGTCAACAATAAAGTACATACGGTATTACCTTTCAGTTCTCACATCGTCATACATAGGGTCGTCATACCTTCCAGTCCTCAGGTAATAGTAAATTAATCGAAAAACAGACTGACCTATATATCAAAGATACAAATCAATCTGCTGCTCTCAACTTTTGCTTTTCAGCAATCAATCTTTGTCGAAAATTCAATAATACTGAACTAGTGTGCTTGTAAATAAAAATTAAAGAAATGCAGAGTTAAATTCGCCATCGCGTTTCGTGTTGCAATGTAGTTTACAACTGATTTGAATTTATTTAATTCAGATTAGGAAGCCATTTAAGAAGACCCTTGAGCAAGGTCGAAACCGGTCATGGCAGCTTGTCTCACCTTCAAATTCAGTCGAAACGCGTCGTGGTCTCATTTATTTAAACTCACACCCCACCCTCAATCATTCCTGCTTTTGTTCGTCAAGGTCAACACAAACTATCGGCAGAATATGAACGAAAAAAACGATTATTACAGTTTGATGCCGGTGATCATCGTTTGGTGAAAACTTTTTACTCGTTAAAACCAAATGAGAATCAAGTCTGTATTCTATATTATCGTCAGGACAACAGACATATATAAGACTATTTAGATTCACTCAGCTAAACTTATCTGGCAGGCTATAACGGACAAACTACAAGCTGAGCAAGAAATGACTATTCTTAAACAGCGTATTTATACAAGACGATTACCATCATCCTTCCAGTTGCTCGATCATTCCATTGATAACATTGAACAAATGCTTAAACGGCCAGCATTTGAGCGAGACAAACGTGCAGCATTATTATCTCGTCGACTCCAGACAATTGCTCAATTCAAATACGATTCAATGGTCTTAGCTATCACTACAACTGAAGAAACAGTTCGATGTCATACGAAAATCATAGCCGATGAAAAGAAAAAGCTAGTCGATACTGCTCACGGACAAGTACCACTTCCAAAGCCTCTTGTTGAATTAATGAATACTATTGCAGCACGTCAAAGCAATATACTACAACGGCATGAACTTATTCTCAAACAAAAGCTGTCGGTTGTCGACGACGCTCCGATGTCAGTAAATGTGGCTGGTGTCGTCGGAGCAATGTAATGGACATTTTCAGCCATATTTTACCATCATCACCAATCATTGAAGCAGCTTCGTCTTTTACATCAAAACAACTCTCTTGTCCATCAATCTGAAACAGTGGAGCAATAAAATGCCACCAAATGCAACGACCATTAAATTAGCTCATTTATATTTTATACCAAAGCCACATAAAGTAAGACAGAACAACGAAAGAATTAGAAAAGACTGCTATCCATAAATGTGTTTACGTTTTATCATTTTTAGGTAGATATATTACCATTAAGACCTATTGTTTCATCGATACGAGCAGCAGCAACTGGTATTTCACATTTTCTGGATAAAATTATACGTTCATTGTATGATCGAATTGCGAAACCAACGACGTTTTCCAATGATATTGATTTTGTTCGTCAGTTGGAACAATTTCGAGATGCAGGTCGTCTTTTGCCAACCACATTGTTTATTACTTTTGACGTATAAACTCCATATTTAAAGTGTATGTTAGTCAAAAGTGTATGGCATAAGATCGACAATGCTTTCATTGATAAGTATTCTGAAACGCCACCGAACTTACTAGTTTGATAATAAACCTCTTTTATGTCGTTCATTCAATTCAACTCGCACTTAGTCGTCGGCGTCCCTACGATCCGCCACTCCTGATTCCTCGCCTTTCGCAATTGTGTAGATCTACTTCAACCTAGTTCCACATTTTCTTGCTCAAAATATCTTCTACAAATAGCAAGTTTTCGAACAGATACAACTTCAATTACATGACTAGATAAACCAATACGAAGAGTTAAAGGTAGAAACGATAAAATCCATTCTTCAAAATACTTGGCGTTCATCATATTCGATAATTCTCATCGTTGTAATGGCATCAGCTAACTCATCAAATACATCTGCGAAAACTCCCAAGAGTCTTCGTGACAACACGTATTCGGCACCGTGTGTCGCCGTCTGCTAGCTTGCGCGTTTTGGGGATATTCTGAGGGCGTGTTTGTTTCTTAGATGCCAGCCAGAGTTAGCTTTTAAAACTTCCCGAGCGGGGCCAGAGAAAACTACTTGTGAACTTTCGGAAGAAGTAATACGAATAGTTTCCTCATTTTGGACTATTTTCAAACGATTAAAAGGTTTTCACAGTGACTTCTAGACCCATCGAAATCAGTTTTAAGTGGATAACTGGAGTAGTTTTATTCAACCATACCGAAGACAACAAAATTCATTTTCTATAAGATGCGAATTTCGCGCACCGTACATGTCGGGTTCGTTAGCACCAGAATCTTTCAGTCAAGGGTTAGTGAATCGAAGATGAGCGTTACTTGTTTATATTAGTAATTCCAATTTATATATATCTCCCTTTCGTACTTTAAATACCTTATATAATTCTAATTTCTTATGAGCCATTGCACGTAAGCCACGACCGACGTTCTTCAATCGATATTCTCGAAACTTTTCCAAAGTAGGGGGCTTTTGTAGACCAAACATTT